AGAATGCAGGTGGAGGTAAGCAAGTACACCGAAGGTGTAAATGATAACGCATTGAGGCCAAATGGGTTGCCCAAGTCTTTAATTCGCTATGATGGTATTCTTGCTTTCTTGTTTACTATTTTATTTTGCTCTCTATTTTATAGTCATGCTCACTTCTTTTTTGATTTATCAGCTCGTCAGAAGGAGGAGGCTTTGGGTTCCATCACGGAGGTTGTACAAACTATAAAGCACCCTCGATCTCATACAAGGACTGTAAGTCATGATGCCCTTAGCAGGCATGAAGAGCTGGAGAAATTCAACCTTGATTATGTGCTGCCTAACTCTGCTCAGCTCGATAGTCTCCCCATGCCAGCCACTCAAACTCCTCTGTTAGACTCCTCAACTTGTTTACACGATTCAGCAAAGAAATCAAGAAATTCCGCGCGCATTTCCCTAATGGGGTCAGTCTCGGCAGTTTGATTTTTCCATTTCTCTTTTCTGATTAATTCAGCATTTTCTTGATGGATTATTTCACTTCTCCACTAACTGGACCTCTCACCAATTTTTCATCACCATTCACCATATACTTGGGTCACATGCATGCTTTTCATACCAAACTTTTCAATTGTCCTCAATAACAACACTATTTTCTACTTCCTTCCCTTTTCAACTGAATGGTTCCGTTACCGCTGCTAGGATCAGATCAAAATCCATGTTTTTCTCTGAACTCAAATATCCTTCCTATAGACGTAATATGGTATTGACCCTTGCCAACAACGCAACAGACTGCACTTTGGAAAACTTGGGCTCCATTTATTTCCTACTTCTTTTTGATAATGACGAAAATAGGTGTATCAATTTGCCACAGATTGATTTAGTGCTAACCCATTATTCACCTTAGCAATTTGATCCGTCTAAATTCCAAGCTTAAGCTCAAAAGCAGGAATGGATAATTAACCAAGGATATAATCAGCAATGGGCTTCTTGTGCCTAGATGTTTAAGTCTCAAGGTTACAAACGAAAATATTTACCACATGTATATGATTTCTAAATTTGTGTAATACTTTATGCTGTGAGTTGGGTAATTCCTTGCAGGTTTAAAAGCAAGTCTATGAGTTATGCTCCAAAGCAGGAAAAACAACCAAAAATTGAACCAGAAATTTTGATGACAAGAGATATAGAACATTCCGACAGTTGGGAGCGTTCTGAAAGAGAAAGAGATATACGCCAAGGGATTGATCTAGCAACCACTTTGGAGCGGATCGAGAAGAACTTTGTGATCACTGATCCAAGGCTTCCTGATAATCCTATTGTAAGATAATGCCTTAAAGACATATAAGATTTTTCTGAACATATCTCATGCAAAATTATTGAGCATATATATTACGTAGGCTCGATTACTGATCTTAATTCCTTAACCAGTTTTAGTATCTTGTCTGCAGTTCTTTAGAATTTTACCTTGATGACACTTTCATCCATCATGTCGTAAAGTATGTTGAAATCATGGACTGGTGCAGCGTACATCTGCAATAATTAACATAAATGTCAAATTTTTTGCAGATATTTGCATCTGATACCTTTCTTGAATTGACAGAGTACACACGCGAAGAAATTTTGGGAAGAAACTGTCGGTATGATATTCAACTTGTTGCTACTTTGCTGACTTTTGCATGTATCTAGGAAGACCCATGTTATTCTACATGTGGTGGTGGAATTGCAAGAATCTTATATTGAGTATATGAATGCTTTTAAAGTTCTTCCATGTATTGATGTTATTGTTATTCCCTTTTTAGGGTGCCCCATAGTGTGGGTGACATGAAAATGATTACTTTAGAGGCATTATTTCTGGGGTTGTTGCCTCTGTTATATCCAGATTGCATCAGGGTTGTTCTTTATCCTTTTCCACATTAAGTCTATGCAGTCACGTCTTTTTAAATAAAAACCAGAATTGAAATTTAAAATACAATAGTAAAGTTTGGTCACCTCGTCCATAAGTTTTGGTGCTTGACTGTTATATGGATCAAATGAAAACAGCAGAGTAAATTTTTTTTTTGCAGATTTCTCCAGGGCCCCGAAACCGATCAAGCTACTGTCTCAAAGATAAGAGATGCTATCAGAGAACAAAGGGAAATCACTGTTCAGCTGATCAACTACACTAAGAGTGGTTTGTAGATCCTTACACTGCTTGCATGATATGAATTATTGAAAAATTATGTTCGGCTCATTTACACCATTATTTAACCCAAGTTTCTCAATGCTTTGTGTAAAAAAAAGTCGGGAATTAGTTAAGAGTTCTATAACATCTTTTTCTCTTTCATTATAACGTATGTTTTCCTTTAAGACCAAATAAAGCTTATGAAGATGTTACATTTGATTTATGTTTCTAATGTCGATCGCTGATTATAATGATTTGCAGGAAAGAAATTCTGGAACTTATTCCATTTGCAACCCATGCGTGATCAGAAGGTAGTACTACAATGCTTATTTCAGATGGCTGTCTCCATTTCAAGAGGACATTGTTGCGAATTCAAATGGAACCCTTATTGTTGCTTTCCTTGTTTTTGCTAGGGTGAGCTTCAATATTTCATTGGTGTCCAACTTGATGGCAGTGATCATGTTGAACCTCTTCGAAACCGACTCTCTGAAAAAACAGAGCAGCAAAGTGCCAAATTGGTAGGCAATATTTTCAAATTCTCTATGAAATACAACTATCATTTTAACCCATAATTTCCATATCTAAATGTCGACTTAGCATCTGCCTGCTTATTTTAACTTGACACCGATGTGCCTAAGTTTTAAGGGGATTAAAGAATGTGAATGCTTCAATGTTATGTCTGTGCATCTTTTTATACCGGAAATTTTCTAAAATGTTTACAATTTATATATTTACTTGGTAGATGGCTCCTTTTCTTCTCAGGCTTTGATGCTTTGACATTTGATCCTCTTCTTTCAGGTTAAAGCTACTGCAGAAAATGTTGATGAAGCTGTTAGAGAACTTC